ATTAAATTACATTAAATTACATTAAATTAAAATAAATTAAATTAATTAAATTAAATTAAATTAAATTTATAAACCCCCCCAGGACCGCCGGTCCCTCACCTGAGCATCCAGGCCTTTGCGATATTCTTCTAGCTGTTTGGAGCTTTGAAATCCTTTCTCCAGGAAGACGGATTGGGCCTCCATGAAGGATAAGACCTGGAACGATCGCAGGCATCAAAAGGGAGACCCCCCCACACCAGACGTCCCTTAAAATAAAATTTGAGGTGCCCCCCAAAAATGATTCTTTGCAAAACAGAGAGAGAAGAGCCTTGGGAAGAAGGAACTTTTGAATTTGAATTTTCCCATCCTGGGCCCTGAAAGCTAAAATTCAGCTAAAATCAGAAGGTGGAAAAGGAGATTTTTCTGGCGTTGAGAAGGCCAACTCAAGACAGATTATATCTCTCCAGGTAGTCCATGACTTACGACCCGAAGGGAGCCCCAAATTTCCGTTGCTAAGCGAGACGTTGGTTAAGGGAATTTTTCGCCTCATTTTACGCCTTTCCTTGCCGCCTGTTGTTAAGTGCATCGCTGCAGTTGTTAAGCGAGCAGCCCTGGTTGTTAAGTGAATCTGGCTTCCCCATCGACTTTGCTTGATGGAAGGTCGCAAAAAAAAGGGGATCGCGTGACCCCCCCCCGGGAAGCTGTGACCGTCATAAATGTGAGTCAAGCACCTGAATTTGGACCACGTGATCCTAGGGGATGCCTCAACGGTTGTTAAGTGTGAAAAATGGACCTAAGTCGCTTTTTTCAGCACCGCTGTAACTTTGAACGGTCACTATAAGTGGAGAACTTCCTGTACGTCTTAAATGTGGTCACATTGAGATCTGGGGACTTCAACTCCCAGAATTCCCCCGGGGGAGAGAGGCGGAGCCTGGGCCATCCGTCAGCCCTCCGATGGAGAGTCAACAGCCCCCAGGTCTGGAGGGGGCTGATGCGGAAGAGGAGGAACAGCTGGATCTAGTGCCTGACAAGCAGAAGGCAGAGAGGAGAGGAGAGCAGTGGAAATCTATGGGCTGGTCCTCGGGACGGGAGAGCTATTGCTGCTGTTAGCAAAGCCCCCACCCTAGCCCTGGGGATAAAAGGCAGGGGGCGGAGACGAGTAGGTGTGGCAGACAGCCATTCACCTCCCTGGCGGACACACTGGTCAGCCTGCGGTGAGAGAGGGAAACATTTGGCCGAGGTTGCCGGCGCTCCTCATTAACGGAATCTTTTGAGTTCACGTCAGAGGGTTCGTCGTGTTTTGGGAGCCGGGTCAGAAAACGATGCCAACCCCCGCGGATGGCCACGACAACCCACTGGGGCAAAAACTCCACGCCAAAACCACCCCCGCAGCGCAGGTGCCAGCCTGTGCACCGAGTGCGAATCTCGCTCAGAATTCCCTCCACCCAGGGACTTACTCCGGCATCTCATGGGAGCCATCTTTGTGAACGTGTGCCAAAATCTAAGCTACACACACACACACACACACACACACACACACACGTGTGTCCTCCCCTCTCTGGGCAACAGGCTTGAGGCTGGGGACGATGGGAGTTTGTAGTCCAAGGGACCAAAGTTGGGGGAGGGAGTTAACTCACGAATTTGAGGATCTCAAATTTCTTCTTGGATTGAATCACGTTGATCTGAAAGGCAGGAGAGGAGGGTCTGGAGTTCAAGTCCCACGTTGCCAGGCGCCACACCGAGGGTCCCCAGAACCCTCGCTGTCCGTCCCCCCCAACCCAAACCCAGAAACGGGATCCTTGGCCGGGGTGGTGGTGGTTATCTTTCAGCCCCTGCACCCGCCCCACTCTACCTGCAGCACGTAGTCCAGGGCTCGGTTACGGAAGGTGGTACGGGCCGCTTTGAGGGCGACCATGGCGTCCTCTGCGTCGTGTTGGCGCCGACGGGGCACCTCAGCGTTGTGGTGCAAGGCGCTGCCGAGGCTTTCGCTGCCCCTCTCGAATTCCTTCCGGGTCTCTTTGAACTGCTTAATGTCCCTGAAAGAGAAGAAGGGCGCGGGGTTCAAACGATGTCCTTAACCCGGGTTAGCTGCATTCACAGAACTATGCGATCGGGCTTAATTTCGGGAGAGGAAAATAAGGGGGGGGGGAATTCTGCCTCTGCGCCTACCAGCATCCATGGTTATTCATCTGGCTAGCGTCTTGTCAGTGTGGGAGAGAGTGGAGGGCTGTTTGGAAAGTGAAACAGTATTTGTTGTGTGAGCAAGGAGGAGACAGCAAGGAGACTGGGCGTGGCTTAGCTCAACTGTTCTGTACGAAAACTGCTTGGTGCTGTGAAACTGAAACTCCTCTGCTTGTGTTTTGCATTTGGAAGAGATTTCTTTTTTTTGGGTGGGGAGGGAGAGTAGGACTCCTTAGCATCAGAGCATGTTAATAATAATAATAATAATAATAATAATAATAATAATAATAATAATATAGGGAGTAGTCTAAATGCTCTGATGGCCATTTGGAAAAATCCTTTCTTAGTGAGCCCCTAGAAACCAAGAGGAACCTACCTGTTGAGGTATTTCCCCGTTACGAGAATGAGCGCATACAGGGAGACGTAGTGAGAGAAGTGTTGAATAACACACACACAGCACACAGATACACTGTACAGTAAATGTAGGTTGTTACTTCCAATAAACGTTTAAGCACAGTCCAAGATAAGCAGTCCAAGTCATTCACAGGTAAGGCAGTCAGTGTGTTCAGTTCAGGGATAATCCAAATATCAAAGTCCAGTATCAAAAAACAGTTCAGTAACAGACTTACATCAACCATCCGTAACAGACATGAGGAGGAACAGCAACTCTCTCCAACAGAAGGAAACAGAGACTCCCTCACACTCTCTTCTGAGACTAAGACTAAACAACCCAGGTTTCTGGCTCCATCTTATGGCCATTTGCGGAACCACACCCGATTACAGATTGAGTATTCTCTTAAAGATACAGTATTAAAATGTCTATCCTGGTTTATCTATTTCCAGCCCAAATAACTGTTAGGTGACTTACATTCCTAACACTATGGGCCAAACGTCAAGTTTGTAGGCTTTACGGTTATGGAGATTTTGTGATGATGCATGAGGGGTATTTTGCTTTTAGATAGATAGATAGATAGATAGATAGATAGATAGATAGATAGATAGATAGATAGATAGATGGATATCCTGTTTTTTTCACTTTGTAATTGATTCAAGTTGGTGAAGATACACAATACTCTTTCTTCCAACTGCTTTTCTCCCCACAACAACAACCCTGTGAGGTGGATTGGGCTAAGAGAGAAAGGGACTGTCCTAATGTCACCCAGCTGGCTTTCGTGCCTAAGGCGGGACTTGAACTCCCAGTCTCCTGATGATTGGCCCAAAGTCACCCAGCTGGTTTTCATGCCTGAGACGGGACTAGAACTCCCATTCTCCTGGTGATTGGCCCAAAGTCACCCAGCCGGCTTTCATGCCTGAGACGGGACTAGAACTCCCATTCTCCAGGTGATTGGCCTAAAGTCACCCGGCTGGCTTTCATGCCTGAGGCGGGACTAGAACTCCCATTCTCCTGGTGATTGGCCTAAAGTCACCCAGCTGGCTTTCATGCCTGA